GGGAATTCTGGGAGTTGAAGTCCGCACATCTTCAAGCTGCTGAGGTTGAGAAACTCTGTAATAAATAGTAGTAAAGCTTAAGAGGAAGGTGGAACGTAAATGTTATAAATAGTAATATGAAGGGAAGACAAGTTATACATTCAAATACTAAGCTAGATGGAGCTTCCGTGCACAGAGGCAGTCTACCTCCGAGCGGCGCCTGATGAGATAACTAGGGAGACGGTAGCCCCTTGCTTGAAAGTTTCCTACAGACATCTGAGTGCCAGTTGCCTGAACCAATCAACCTGACCCAGTGAAACCAATGACCAGCATTCTTATTAGGAAGGACAGAGGGAGCCTCCAGGTCCAGTGACAGTTTATCTTTCAGTAGGTAGCTGGCCCTCAGCACCTCTGCGGCCTCTTTGTCCATCGGAGCAACTCTCGGCCAGCCCCCTGAAACAAGAGGGCCGCGAGGATCGCCCTAACACGGCGTTACAAATTCTCCCCTGCAAAATTCCAGAAAAAAGGAAACATTGCTCTGCCTTCTGCCTCAAAAGGCTTCCAGACTGGATGACAAAGGTCAGTATCCCTAACAAAGCAACTGCTTTTCTTGGGTTTGCAGCGGAGACACGACACAAAAGGAAAAGTGATCAGAGTGGAGGAGGAGAAAAAAAGAAAAGGAAAACCAGGGAAGGAACTGAGTATACGGTTCTTCGAAGGACCAGCTGGGTTTCCTTGCAGACGTAATAGGCTGTTTCTCAAACCAGATAGGCCAGATAGTACCAGTTCTGCCTTTCTGAACCCACCATTCAACCAACGGTTCTGCCCTGGGGCTCTGTAAACCATTCCTTTTCCTCTCTTTCACTCCCATCACCACTTTTCCACCTTGACTGCTGTAGCTGTTTCACTCTGCCTAATGCACCTTCTCAAGACATCCAGAAACGCTTTCCTTGAGCAAAAAAAGTTTTTTGAGAAGAATTACCTGATCTGGGAAAGACTGCCGGCCTTCCTTCCTCTCCCTTTCTCTCTTTTTATTTATCTATCTATCTATCTATCTATCTATCTATCTATCTATCTATCTATCTATCTTACAGGCAAAAGGCCTGAAAACTTTCTCTCTCGCCTTCCTTCCTTCCTTCCTTCCCTCCCTCCCTCCCTCCCTTCTTTCTTCTCTTCCTCTCTTTTTTGCTCCTTCCTTCTCTTTCTTCTTCCCTCCCTCTCTCCCTTCCTCCTTCCCTCCTTCCCTCCTTCCCCCCCTCCTT